TCTCTCATTCTCTCTCTCAAATAAATAAATAAAATCTAAAAAAATAAAAAAGTAAAAATAAAAATAAATTAGAATGAAAACAACGGAATAGCCCATATTCTGGACTTGCCTCATCCTGAAAATATACTCCGATGGCTACAATATTTGAGACTTCAATAATTTAAAAATTATATCTACTAGTGATTGCTTTTTACCACTTCCCCGTTAAAATGTTCCTTTTCCCATTTATTATGTATACGTTAGTGCTGCAAGGGAAGGTGCTGGGGCTGAATCATCAGAAGAAGCCAGAGAACTCACCACACTGAGTGTGCTCTGAGAGGAGATGCGAGACAGGAAGGGGCTTTGCGGGGCGGGGGGAGGGCAGCGCTGGTGGGGGAGCGCCAGAGCCCAGGCAGGAGGGCGGGGAGGCTGGGCAGCATCTACACAGAGGCTTGGTCTTGACCAAGAGCACGGTGATGGGGAGTGGGCCTTCCTCCCAAGAGGTAGCCCCGGGAAGGGCAAATAACTGAGGGGGACCTCACTTCTCAGTCTCCCTTGGCAAATCAGGGATCCCCAGCCTTTCGGTGGCACAAATGGAGATGGGGGGCTGCTGGCATAGGGTTCTCCTTCTGAATGCTACCCTTCCCTTTTCTGGCCTTCACATCTGCCTGTGAATCGTGCACTTGGCTTATTGAGTGGGCCTCCCAGGGCCAGCTCCTTGCAAGCTACTGCATCCCTCCCTGCAGGGAAAGCATTATCAGCTCCATTTAACTGATGAGAAAACTGAGGTTCAAAGAGGTGTAGCAACTTGTGAAAACACTGATGATGTCAAATTCATGGAGAGAAAGCTGAGGCTTAGAAAAGTTGAACAACAGCCTGTGGTATCCATCGACTTGCTGCTCCAAACCCCCTTTGAGTGAACCGGCTGCAGGGACACTGTGGGTGGCAGCCCCCAGCCCCCGTGCCCTCAGATCTGCAGCGGCATATGGGTGACTCCCAGCCAAGGACTGAGCTCGACAGCAAAACTAGAGCCAGGCCATTGATGCCCAACATTGGACTCTTCTAAGGGGTGACCTTTGCTTGCAGCGGCCCCATTGTTCACAGATGCCAGGCCCCAGTCTCAGCGGAAGGCTCTTCCCACCAGCCCCTGCTGCCTCCACCTTTATCTTCCACAGGAACAACTCATCTCTTGCAACATCTAGTCCTATCTTCACGTCTGCATCCCAGAAGACCGATCTGGCAAATGGCCTGAGGTCACACAGCCAGCAAGTGGCTGAGTGGGGATTGAAAGCGTGGTCTTAAAGCCAGGCCGTTTCGACCCTGGGGAATTCTTCTGTACATAAATCATAAAGGAATTTTGGCACCTTGTTATTTATGTCTCCAAATCACATGAAAATGACAAGCCTTGTTTCCCTACTTTTTTTTCTGACATAATTAATATCTCTGTTCACTCCCTCCTCCCCAGAAAAGAGGCAACTTGTTAGCACAAGAAGTCCAAAGGTGCTCTCTAAAAATGATCTATCTGGCACTGAGTCTACTTACAAGAATTATTTTTCTCTGACTATAGAATGTAGACAAGAAAGGTGATTTATCATAGAAATAAATAGCAGCTTTGAAAGGAAGTACCAGTCATATTTTTAGAACGCCATCAATTCTACACCAGAGCGGAGCGGATTGTTTCAGCCTCTGAGCAGCGCACGCGTGCTTTCCGGCGGCGGGGACGGAGCGCACTTGGGGCAGTCACGCGCCGTGTCCTGTGCAGGCCAGCACCTCTTTCCACAAAAGTGGTGTTGCCACTTCATTAGTGACAGGTGCGTGGTGTCCTGCCGGCCGGCCTGCTCTGGGATACGATTGTGGAGTCAGGTTCTGAGTCGGTGTGGGGGCAGGAATATTCAAAATACCTGGGTTTCACCAACTCCTGGGGAATCGTGAATATCAAGTGGCTGGTGGGCCTGTCCCCAAACCTGAGGGCTCCCTGACTGGCCTGGGCCCGGGGAGGTGGTAGGCAAGACTGGGCCTCTCGCCACATGTCCATGCTCCGTGGGAAGGCCACCGGCGTGTCCTGCAATGGCTGCAAGGCAGAGAAGCACAAACAGGACAGCTCATTATCGGGGGAAAGAGTATAGAATACTTATCTTGCTAAGAGCCTTGCTCAGTTTTTACTTCGATCCTAGGAGATTAATTCAATAGAGATGAATTCATCCTTGGGGAGGATGCACCTTCTTCCCACCTGACACAAGTCTGGTCTCTTTCCTGACAGCTGCCGCACCTGGGCCAGTGGGTATCCAGAGCCCCCCGCCCCACCCCCCAACACACACACCATGGAGCTGTGGCATAATCATAGTGTCTCTTGAGAGAGCCCGCACTGGGCCCGCAGCCTGAGCCTGCACCGCCCAGTCCCCGGGCCATGCAGCCGCCAACCCACCCCCTCTCCTGGAGCCATTCACTTGGGTTTCTGCAGCAGAGCAGTGCAAAAACAGAGAGCAGGAACCAGAAGGGGTGTGTACGGCAGGGCAGGTGTGTGTGTGTGTTGGTGGGGGACCCCAGCCTGTCTCAACTTTAATTAGAATTGATCCACACACAGAAGTGTGTCCTGAGCTTAGACAATGTGTTGAACTTTTGAACAGAACAAAGTTTTAATGCTGAAAAACAACTGTAATAAATATAAAGTAGGGCTAGAAAAAATGTTGTTAGAAACTGAGACTCTCCAGCCATTCCTCCCTTTTTCTCGGCTAAGAAGAACCCAGATTTTGATCCTGCGTCCACGACTCCCACAAGACCAGAGCTCAGCTGGGATCTCTATTTGTCGAAGGGAAGAGTGGGGATTCGTTGTGCCAGGGATTGGATGAGAGAGGAAGATGTGACCTCCCTCTTGGCCAATGAGCCTGGAGGGGACGTAGGGGGCGGGGCCTCTGAGAAATAATATCTTTACTAATAAAGTCAAGCTGATCCGTGGCTCTAGTGCTGGGCATCGTCCCCTGAGTATATGAAGCTCTGAACTACGCAGGGTGGAGCTGAGGTGAGCTTAGACCGGCCAGGCCTTAAGCCTACCTGTCCTCAAGCTGTCCGTTATGTGACTTTATAGATCCTCTTATTGTTTAAGTCATTTTACACTTGGAGCTAATAACTAAAGGCTCACCAACAAATTTAAATTCCTTCAAGATCAGGTTTTCCTCCCGGACCCAATTCCTGGACAGGGTGCTCAGAATGGAAACCTGATACCAGTTATTTAAAACGTTCTGTGCTTACACATTGCTGAGTGGAGATGAGCAATCATGCCCACCAGAAAGTTAGATGAATTGCTTAAAACCACTTCAAATCCAGCCAAACCTGGATGCTGGTGGAGCTTCCTGCCTGGGGCTCGCAAGAGTGGGGCCTCACTCCCTCCCTGAAAGATTCTTCTTTGTGTATCAAGAGCAGTAACATCAAGATGAGCAGATTTCATAAATAACTTTTGTCACCAACTCTTCCTTCTCATAATGGCTCCTACGTCTTCCGGGGCATCCAGGCCCTACATCCTGGCCATGGTGGACACCCACCTCCCTTGCCTCTTCCCCGAGTTTAGCTTCCATGTCCTCCTTTATCTCTGTGACACGACTGCCACTCCTTCCTTTTCAGTCCTAGTCCCTCTACCCTGAAAGTCAGGTTCCTGACTCTCTTGTCTGGACTTTGTAGTACTTTGCCAGTTTGACTCTTTGTCTCTAGAACTTTCCCTCACCAAACCATCCCACAGGCTCCTGCCAGTTTATTTAAACATGGCTTAAAGCAGGCCTTTCAATGGCTTCATGCTGACTATAGAAAAATGTCAAAATTATGTCAGGCCATCCTATGCCTGATGAGGCTCAAATGTGGAATTCTGAGTTGACCTTGTCACTCTCCTTTCTCCACCCAATGTCCCCTGTTCACCAAGCTTTCCAAGCCTATAGAAGCCACAGGATGTAGTCTGAAGAGAACACCTGAGATCTACAGCCCTAAGTTTGAATTCTGAGTCTACCATTTACTGACTGGGTGCTCTTGGGCAAGTTGTTGTTTTTGTTTTTTTTAAGCCTCTCTGAGACTCAGTTCCCTACCTATAGAGTTGGTAGTTTATTCCGCTCTCTGAGGGGTGTGGTGAGAACTGAGAGAGCCTGCAAACTACTGAAGATCAGAGAGAATGCATGGAAAGGGTCTTGTACCTGAGCTGCACCCACATCCCGCCTCTGGGCTTTGGGCTTCTGCTCACGCAACAGCGACACTCACTTGTCTAAATCCAACCCATCCTCCAGGCCCAGCTCCTGTGTCACCTCCTGATCTCTGGGGCAGGCAAACTCCTGCCATCCCAGGCCTGTTGCATGTTTTGTGCCTTTCACTTAGGTTATGAGGGTATATAATGATCACAGCTGATGCTTACCATGTGCCAGGTACTTGGCTACATGTTTTGTGTTTATTACCTCATTTAACTCTCACAACACCACTACAAGATATTACTTTATATATCCTCATTATGTTGCAGGAAATAGACCCACAGAGAGGTTATATAATCACTCAAGGTCACACACCTAGTAAGCCTGATGCAAACCCAGTAAGACTGACCCCAAAGTCTAGTCCTTCACCACGAAGTTTTGCAGCTTGTCTGCTTTCTTTCTGAGCTTTTGGAGGCAGAATCAATGTCTTATTCCACGTAATCTGGGGGCTTGCACGGAACAGGGGTACAATTAAATACAGTGTGTTCATGGCGGCTCCCACATGGATAACTCCAGCCCCTGGGCCCGCCATCCACTGAGGTCCACTCAGCGACATCTGACAGGCCCCCACCAGCTTTCTCCCTGTAGATGTCCTGCGGGCACCTGTCACTCAATATAAAACACGCTCCATTCAGTCTCTTCCTCTAAATACTTGTCCTTCTCCTATCTCCATGAATGGCACCTCCATCCATCCAATAACCTGGACTAGATGCTTTGGAATTGTATTAACTCCTGCCTCTCCCTTACCACCCACATTCAATTATTATCTGGGTCCTGTACATTCTGTCTTCTAAATAGCTTTGAATCCATTTCTTTCTCTCCATCTCTACCATCGCTGTGTTAGTCTCTCCGTAACTTTCAGCCTTCTGATGAAAAAAGTGAATTCATGTGATTTCATTCCTGAAGGAGCCGTCCTAAAGATGTTCTTCTCGTAACAGTAAAATGACTCCCCTCTATGAACTATATTTCTTCTTAATAGCGTAGAACATTTCTGATTATGTGCTCTCTATTCAACTCCTCCAAATCACTGTGCTGCAGGGAAAATATTGGCAGGCAAGTGGCATGGGGTTGACGGTGAGCGAAAAGTGTGCTGAACAGAAGCGCGCTGCTTTTAAGAGGGCACAGGCTGTGGGAGGAGGCTGTCTGGTTTTGAATTCCAACTCCACCTTCTATCTGTGGGAGCTTGGGCAAATTGCTGACCTTTCTACACTGCAGCATCTTGTTCTGTAACATGTGGCTGGTCATATACTCGCTTGCTATTATTACTTTAGTATGGTGATACGAAAGTACAGAAGGATAGTAATACTACTTCCTTCACAAGGTTACCTGTCGATTTAGTAAGAAAAGCCACTTAAAGAGCTTAGCGCAATAGCTAGCACGTAGGAGGTGCTCAGCCTTATCCATTAATCGTTTTAATTGTAACCTCCAGGCATGGGGAGGTCAGACTGTTGACCTCGGGCACAGCAAGGAGTTCCTTAAGTCCTAACCCTGTGTCCAATTCATTATGATGCTTCTGCTCCTTCAAACCAGAAACTGTTCTTCCTTTCAGCCTCTCTTAGTGCTGCACATTAGGATCCCCTGGAAGCTTTATAAACTCCTGCTGCTTGGACCCACCTCAAGAGCATCTGACCTAATTGGGTGGGATGCAACCTGAGCATTAGGCTTTTAAAAGCTCCCCAGCTGTTTCTAATGTGCAGTCAAGGTCAAACCGCACTGGTCTTGGCAAGGCCTGGGTGCGTGCATGCATGCTGTCGTAAGAGGCAGGGTGGGGGGGTGTCTGTGGGCAGGGGAAGGGGCATGACTCCTGTATTCTAGAGAAACTCACTGTGCCTGTTGGAGACACAACAGAAGTGTCAAAAGAGCAAGACATCATCTATAGGACTTGAGAAACCTAGGATTTAATTTGTTCCGTCTCAAAAATTGCCAAATTTTCACCAAGATACAAAGTAAAAGAGAGGAAACATTTTTTACATTTTGGTATAATCCAACTGTTGCTGACCCACCAATCCCACTTCCTGGAGGCACCGACCACCAAGGGATCAGGCGATCTACACCCCTCCCTCCACTCCCACCCCTTCCCCAACATCTCACATGAGGTAGGATTCGCTTCTGAGAATCCCCAAGGGAGAAGCAAAAGCCAGTGTTGGGTACACTTACCTGGTTGATATTCAAAGTGTGGGATTTGTTAAACCTCGTAGAACCTCTGAGCAACAGGAGGAAAGGTGGTGGGTTTAAACTGCAGCCTCCCAGGGACACATCTCTCTTGAAAGTTTTATTGGCCAAGTCCAAGACCGCAGGGCTCCCTGATTGCCTGGAATGAGGGCAAAGAGGCAAACCACTGTCCAACTCTGAAATCTCAAGGAAGATGCACTGGCAGAGAGAGCTTGCTTCAAAACTACGCATTCTTACTGTCAGGCTTTAGGTGCACTTTCATCTCCTACCCGCGCATTATATCTAGAGGAGACACCAGAGGATGGGCTGTGACCCACTTCTGCATTCCCTGTAATACCCAGCACCATGCCTTGCTGGCAGGAAGGCTCAGAAATTTCATTGACTTGAATGGTTAGGGCTGGGGCAAAGCCAGATGATAGTGCTTTCTTTGGAACAGGTGTCATTTAGAAATGTGAAAATGAACTATGCAGAGAGGAGAAAAGTGGGCACCGATGACCTAGAATGATGGTGAACATCAGGAAACCTTAGAGGTGAGTTTGCAGAAGGGTTGATCTTGCTGCATTTGAGCAGGAGAGTCTCACAGATAAATCTGCTTATCTTATGATTGTTGTCTGAGCCTTGATGGACAGCAGGAGCCCCCAAGCTCCCCACAGGTTGCCGAGGTTCCTGACCAGTCCCGGGCCCTCCTTCTGCCCTGGGGAGGGTTTTGGCTTTTATCTAAAAAGTGATCATTTTGAATCAAAAGAAAAGAACATCTAAACATTTGTGTGCAAGGACCAGGCTCCTCTCTCTATGAAAAGTCACGGTCGGGTTCGACATGGTAGTGATTTGGCTTCCCAGCAGTGCTGGCCCATGCAAGCCCCCAGCCCCCCAAAACAGGGGAGCACTGATGAAATCAAATTGCATGACCTTGATTAAAATGAAGTAAAATTTCAGTATGGAAAATCTTCAGGGCCATAATCTGAAAGTTAACTTTCACTCGACCTTTCCCAAGGTTCTGTGCCAAAGCTGTTCCTACAAAGGGAGGCTGGGCCCAGGTGAGGTGTTCGTGGGAGGTGGTTTGTTTCTAGTGTGTGTATCTTGTCTAAGAAGGCGTTTGAAAGTTGGCGGAATGAGAGCCTCAGGCTGCACGTGGTGACAAATCCAACTCCACTACTAGAGCAAGGGGATGCCCTCCCGGAGGCAGGCCACGCTCATCAGCCGCACACCCGCAACAAGGCACGCACCTCCGGATGAAAACGTTGCTGATGCAACCCTCGAAGTGACTCCCGCCCAGATACAGGGGATGCTGGGAACCCGACAAGTCCTGTAGCCTTTGGTTACTTTTCAGAGTCTGGTCATCAATGAGAAGCCGGAGTCTGGACGAAGAGGAAGGCAAAACAAGAGTGAGAATGGCAGGGAAGAAAAGTTTCTCACCACGTGGCCCACTGAGGCTCTTCGATTCGGACTCTATACCTGTAACCTAAAGTAACCTGTTAAACTAGATTTATTTTTAAAGAGCATTTAAATTTAAAAAAAATTTTTTTCATGTATTTCTTTTATTGTATTTTTATTAAAGCAGTCTATACATACAGAAAGTGCACATATCCTGTGTGCTCAGTGAATTTTTTGCAGTGTGAATACACCAAGGACAGGAGCACCCAGCCACAGAAGCAGAAGTGACCAGCACCCAGGAACCCTGCCTTGTGCCCGCTTTTCCCCGTCTGGGGGTATAACCCCCGAGTCCTGAATTCTGATAAAAGAAATTAATTTTGCCTGTTTTTGAATTTTATATAAATGAAATCATAGAAGATGAATTCTTTTATGTGCGACCTCTTTCACTCAGCAGGACGCTGTGAGGTTCATCCACGGCATTCTATACATTTGTAGATCTTTTGTACTCATTACTCCGGTTTCATTCCCACATTTTGAATAGACCACAGTTGGTTTATCCACCCACCTTTTGGCTGATTGATTTTATTATTATTTTTTTTAATGAGGACATTGATACAGAACCAGGAAGAAGGCTAAGACTTACTAGTAAAATAGTGTTAGCATCAAGGACACATACTTCACCAAAAAGATACTAGAAAATTCCATTAAGCTAAATAAAAGTCTTAGAGCTCTCGCGAAAGTGCCATCGTACTCACCCAGAGTTGTCACTTATTACAGATACATAATGCAGTGAACCATCCGTGTACGTCTGCGGAGATCTAAAAATCGGGCTGTTGCTATCCCTGGTGTTCAGTTCAATGTGACCATCTTCCAGGGAGACCTGCAGGTTCCGTGTCTGAAACCACCACAGAACATACCCATCAATGTCATTAACTTCCACTGAAAGATTATGACGGTGTTGATACTGAAGTTATGATCAACACTACGGATAAGACAGTCAGGATGTTTTGGCCCAAATGTTTTGACTTCACTATTTCAATCTAAAGATTATTTTTGAATATCCTGACTCTGTGTTTATGAATATAAAAGTGTTATGCAAAGTATTTCAACACTGTTGAATCTGTCAAAAGCATCTTATGGACCTATGTCCGTAAACCATTTTTTTTTAAAGATTTTATTTATTTGACACAGAGAGAGAGAGAGAGCACAAGCAGGAGGAAGGGCAGAGAGAGAGGGAGAAGCAGACTCCCCGCTGAGCAGGGAGCCCCATGTAGGGCTCGATCCCAGGACCCTGAGATCATGACCTGAGCTGAAGGCAGACGCCTAACTGACTGAGCCACGCAGGCACCCCCCTTTTTTTTTTTTTTTTCCATAAACCAATTTAACTTCTCCATCAATGATACAAAACAGTTAAGCCAATCTGTTGAAGTTATTTTCATCAGGATCAATTCTTTTCTGAATCAATTTTGTGATGAAGACTTGATTCATCCATTTTTTAAAATATATGATTATGGCAATGATATCTTCTCTTTAGTCATTATGAACTTTTAATTTTCTGGTCATAATTCCTAGGAAGTTCAATTTTCTGATGTCAAACTCTGCAGATCTAAATTTTGGCACGATGATTCGATTCTGTTAATTCTTAATAAAAAAAATATGTGTAGTTTTTGTAGTTGTCATTTTAATTCTGTTGATTTTTTTTCTACCAAGTACAATTTTTGCAATTTTCAACAAGATGTGATCATTCAGTGAGCTTTTAGTCTAAAACAATTTTTATATGGCTGCCTGGGTGGCTCAGTCGGTTAAGTACCTGACTCTTGATTTCGGCTCAGGTCACGATCTCAGGGTCCTGGGATCGAGCCCCACGTTGGGCTCTGCACTCAGTGGGGAGTCTGCTTGGGGATTCTCTCTCTCTTCTTCTCCCTCTGCTCCTCCCCCACTCATGCTCCCTCTCTCTCAAATAAATAAATCTTTAAAAAAACTAAATAAAACTATTTTTACAATGTGCGATTGTAGCCACTATCAGTTTAATTTGGTTTTTTTCAGTTGGCAATATTCATTATGAGTTGGGTAAAGGAATGCCAATTTATATGTATGACTTAGCTAACCCATTATGAAGTTGAGGGCAGTGTTCCTGGGGTATTTCTAGGATCCCTCCATTGTCTAGGAGTGATCCCCTCTTTTGCTCAGTCAACTCTTCTGCCAGTTTTTAACCATTTTGTATATTGTGTACTCTGTGCCCCTACCCTTGGCACGGGAAACAAGCACTGGGTGTCAAAAGAACTAGGTCAAAACATCCTACTTTGATAGAAAAGGCACTCTTGCAGTCAAAATGCTGACACATGTTTCTTCAGGGGGTAGTTTAAAAAAAAGAAAAAGATCTCTAAAGGCTGGTGAGCAAATATATATCAAGAGAGACAAGGCCTTCTAATATGACATCGCCACAGAGTCAGCTACTGTTCTTTCTTTCGACAAATACTAAATGTCTGTTGTGCTGGCAATCCTAAAGAAACACATCCAAGAATGTCAGTATTCTACTTCTACTTCTGTGTTAAAATCCCCCTCATTCCACAAGGGGATTTCTAAATATTAGTTGACCTCTATACCTACATGACCACACAAACGAAATCCTATAAAGCTATAAAGGGTACCTTGTCGCTCCGTTGTACATGAACAAAGAGCCAAGGACCCTATTTTCTCTCATTCCCCAGATGTAAATATTGTCCAACCAGCTACTGCTGCAAAAAAGGAATCTGAAGAGCTATCTTTTGTGGAATCAAAAAGGAATAGTGGGGACACATTTGGATTTTTTTCTTAGATCTAAAACTTTAGGTTACATTATTACTTATAACAGTTATAATTCACCTTAACTCGTGAAATAAACCCAAGAAGAATGAAAATGAGTCCATGAATACATATGAATTCAACTCTGTAAAGTCTAATGTACTTTCTTAGCCTTATTTCTTTTAGGACTTGCCCCAGGATGAAGAGTAACCTCCATGGTTGAAATATGCAATGTCATTTACCGCGTGATAATGGATAAAATGCCCAACTAGTTTACCATCAAAATCTCTCTACTGTTTTTGACATCAAACTTTGAGTCAGGTTTAAGTCTTATTCAGTATTCATGCAATATTTCATACCTGTGCCTGGAGATTAAATAACATGCCACCCGGTTGAAAGGTCTGAAACCCAAAGGAGGCCTGGAATTCGTTGGGCAAAGGGAGGTCCAAATTGTTGAACCTCAATTGTCCACCCCTGGAGAATGAGGCAGATCGCACGAGCTGAAATGCAAATGTGGAATAAATTACTGGCATTGGAATGATTTGATGGCTGAAATCCAGGATCTCATCCTGTATTGCTTCACCTGAGCTGATTAATGTGGTTTCTGTTGCCTCAGGAAGGAACAGTTTCCTTTTCTGCATGAGTTGTGTGTAGAGTTGGTACTTCTTTTTTCTTACAAATGTAATATGCAAACGTGAAGGGGCTGTGTGTCTTGCAAATATGTGGGAAGTAGAAATGAACCAGTTCGCACAAATATGTGGGAAGTAGAAATGAACCGGTTTGCCATAATACTGTGTGCTACCAGAAAAACTCTAGCGCTGGTCTATAAATGACTACAGGATGGGTTGGCCGGGGAACAGCACTGCTCTGGAAGGTTTTGAATTCTTACCTTCCAGTCTTCTGAGCATTTTTTTGTGACTCCCACAGTGTCATTCAACCTAACAACACCGCTGGTTTTCTTCAGATTTTTCATGCAGCCTCGGAAACCAGGTGTAGAAATGTTAAACCTGATTTGGGGTACAAAAAAGGAAGAGATGTACCAGACCCGGCTTGTCTGAGAATTGGAGCTGAAACTCTGCACTGTCTGGTACTTCTCACCCATAAACGAGTATGTATTTTATGGGTATCTGTTCTCATGGGATTTCTAGAACTCTACTTTTGTGAAGCTGAGAAAATCGACTTCCTTTCTCTGTGATTCAGCATTCTCAGCTTTAAAAATGAACGTAATAGTGTTGACAGAAGAATGGCCAGTGCCCTCAAAAAGTACAGTGACAAAATGTACGATATCTAATACCATAAATATTATATCGATACATATTAATAAGTACATTATTTATTAGAGCCAAGAATGCCCTAAAAAACACTTTGCTTTTTCTCCTGTCCACTTTTAAGTTAGTTACTGTTAACTCAGTAGAAACAATCGGTTGCATTCTGGTTCTAGTCAGCGATGGAAAATGTGGCTTGGTATTTAACCAATGCCAGGCTGGAACAATGGAAAGCATTGTGAGGATTAAACAAGTTAATGCACAGGAATTGCTCAGTACCGTGTGTGGCCTGCAATTGTGACCGCTCAGGAGCTGCTTCTTTTTTTTTTTTT